ACTGAAGTAGCCAACATTCCAGAAAAATAATAATTAATATGTAGGTAAGCACCTTATTAACTTCAGCCACTTCACTTCACTGATATTGCCACACGACACTGAGAGTTTTGTCTGGCAAACTAATAGCAGTATGTTTAGATGCCAGCATCATCAATACCGCCAGAGAAAAGTGTTTTTTAAGCAATCAGATTGTTGAAGGATGTACATTCATTAAAAACTAATTTCTTTGCTATTAAAGGTACATTTAGACATGAATACAAGAACATAGCAATAAGTTATCATCACATGTCTTTAAGTGTGAATCTCATTTATATATTCATAAAAATAATTAAAAAGCAAAAGCAAATCTAACTATATCTAAAGCTCAAACTTGCCATAAAAAGATACATAACATGGTATTACTTTCACAATAAGTGTTCCCTCAAAAATAAATATTGCACTTTTATTTGATATTTTTGACAGTGTTTGTTATCAATACTGTATTAAATTTTTTTCCTTTTGAGGCACACTGAAGATACATAGACTTGTAGAATGGCGATGCTATACCAAGTTTAGCACAATTGTTCAACAAATGAATAATAAATATGTTAAACATATTGCAGGTACTTTGCAAAGTTTCAATGTACTTAAAACAATTTGAATAGAAGAAATCTCAGAAATACAATAGATTATTTAATATTAATGTGAAGTTCAAAAGGAAAAACACATACAAAAGGACAGACATAAAAACAAAACAAACACACAGACGCTACATCTAAAAAGTGCATACTAAATATTATCCCCAATGCCATCGCGTCACTTGGCACCAGGGACATTTCTTTTGCCACTTTGTATTCGGACAAGTCCTTGTATTCAGCCCATATGTATAAGTAAGTATGAATATATGATAGACCATTGCCAATATTATACATCATTTATTAAATGTGCAATAGGAGTACTCTGCATATAATTACACCTGTACAAGCACTAAATTTTTTTTTTGCCAGGCGACTGTTGTGGACATTAAATGTCAGTGTTGTCTTTCCTGAATTTTTTTTCGTACTGAATGTTTCACAAATTGAAATAATGACAGTGAGCTGTCATTTGCCATGATTCAGTAAGTCACAACGACATGGTTAGTTGCTAACAAATTCTAGTCAATGACATTTTGTATCGTACCTTTGGGATTAAATACAATTTGACCATAAACTTATGCAATTGAACTACCTACTGCATAATTTAGAACAAAGCCTGGAAGATCACCCCTTGCCCCTCACAACCCAACCCACATGCTTGTACAGATGAAATACAAAGTAATACAATATTTTCATGAGTGTACATACATACTGTACACTCAATTGCATATACTTCAAGATCATAATTTACATTATTAGTAGTTTCACACCTTGAGACAAACTGCATTATGAGAACCAAAATATGTCTGGATAACTTCAACATTTATAATATTTGTATGTCTGACATAAGCATGATCAATCAATGTACCACTGTCTGTTGTTGGCTGTGCAACACATTGTTTAAATCCTCTTTCTTCCATCAACTTTTGTACAGAAGAAGACACAAGTACATTCTCGTTAAAATCACCAAGAACAATGCTTCCACCAGGTAGTTTCTCCAATTCTTCAACCAAACTCAATAAGTTTCTTCTGAACACGTCTGCTCTGTAAGATCGAGGTCTATAGATTATTGCTACTGTAAAATGTCCGTCCTTTACATAAAATGCCATGTACTCCAAATCTTGTGATACACAGATTCAAGATTTCAATACACTCATTACTACTGATATAAACTCCTACTCCTCCATGAGCTTGATGCTTCAAATCAGTTGTAACATGGTCAGATGTATCATATGATAATGACCTAGGTTTGTGGTGAAAAACAAAACCACTTAGACCTAATCCGTCTTCTGAATCTGCACTGGTCAACCATGTTTCTGTCAAACAAATAAAATCACTTTTTACCAATCTTTTGTCATATTTTAGGTCTTCAATGTGTGAATATATACCTTCTATGTTATGCAAAGTGATAGTATATGAACATTCTATATTTGAGTTACTTTCAGTCAAAGTGATAAACTTGGGCATACTTGATAAGGCAGCATCTATTTTCTCATTGCAATAAATGGCAGATTCCTTGAAGTCTTTGATAACAAGTCCACTCAAGGATTTTACCCTACTCAAGGCCACATAAGCTTGTCCAGGTGCAAATATTTTGTCTAATGAAACTACAGCTTCTTCTACTGTTAAGCCTTGTACTTTATGTACTGTACATGCCCAAGCAAGTTTTAATGGGAATTGTCGTCTGATACTTCCACTACTGTTCACACGGTCTTCCTGGGGCATTATTGGCAAACTGTTCTCTGGTATTGATGATAACACATCAGTTTTACTACGCAGTTTTGTTCCAACATTTTCATTATCAAAAACTACGTATATAGTGGAAGGGAATACTTCACCAGGCTTCATAGATATATAGGAAACAGTTCCAAAAACACCATTTACTAGACCATCAGATACATCAATGTTTTTTGTTAACATCACACGGGCACCAACAGCTAAAGTTACTGTATTTGCCAAATTTGTATTGTATATCTTCTTATGTTGGCTGTTCTGCCTGACTAATTTCTTTGTTTTAGGATCTCTACAGAAGTCCTGTGCCTTAATGGTTATCGGATCAGTACAGGATGATTGCAGTTTCATAACATTACATTCATTAACTTCTTTATTGGTTGCAAATATGTGAATACCATTACCATCTTCACCAGTTTCGCATTGACGAAGCATGTTCACTGCACTAGTGTCCAAGTCATCTGATTTCTTTTTGCTTCTGATAACATTGAGTGTTTCAGCAAATGCATAGTCTTCTTGTCTCACAATATCACTCAATTCAGCAATAGAAAAATAATCATTCCATAGGTCAACACCTTCATTGTTAAAATACAGTGCCTTTCCTTTCACTGGTGGCAACTGATAGAAATCACCCACTGCCACCACAGAAACACCTCCAAACGGAGAATAATCACCACTTTGTTTAATCTGTCTCAGCCTCCCATGAATATAAGCAAGAAGCTTCTTATCCACCATTGAAATCTCGTCAATAATAAGAATCTGCAAACTACCAAGCTTTGTACGTAGTGTGTTTATTTTCTCTTCTCCCAGTGGCTGGTATGGTAGTTTGGCATCAATTGCTATTGAGAAAGTACTGTGTATAGTTGTTGCATCTATATTAAAAGCAGCAACACCTGTTGGTGCCGTCAACAATACAGAAATGTTGTCAGGATTTGGCAATACACGGGAAAGAATTCTAGAAGCTTCATAATATAAAGCTTTGATTAAATGAGACTTTCCAGTACCTGCACCACCACACAAGAACATATAAAATGCTTGTACACTATGATCTGTGGTTTTATTTAAACACCATTGTCGTACTGTGTAGAATATGTCCTGTTGCTTGTCATTTAATGATCTAAGCAATATTTTAGCATCATTTCTTGACATTCCACATTGACGATGCACTTCTGCACATGAATTAGTCTTGTCTTTTCCCAGCAAATCTGGAACTGAGTCATCATTTTCTGCTTCATCTGATAAGGAAATGTTATTCACCATTTCCTGACATTGCAATCGTTCCATTTCAGACTGGGAATGAATCTGCGCCCAGGCATCTTCTAAAGGAGGACATGCTTCCAGAATTTGCTCTGCTGCATCTATTTCATCCACTTCTTTTTCAAAAAGTGCTCTGTTTCTGTCAACAATAGCTTTCACAGTTTCTAATGTTTTGCATGCATACTTTACAGCACCAGTTTGATAAAAATCTTCGAATGAATCAAAGTTGCATGGTTTCAACTGACTATCAGTTCGATGAGGCAGAAAAAGTTGAAGAATGCTTTGATAATACTTCTCCGGATATTTGAAGGGTGAAAATCGTGCATACCTGACAACTGCTGCATCGGTTCGAGTTCTTTTTCGCACATAGCCAAGACCATTTTGAAGTTTAACAAATGCATTGTTTGACTTTGTATTCCCCATGATCTCTGATGTTGAGACCACTCTATACTCTGAAACAAAACTAGCAAGGCATAGATTATCAAATATTTCTTCATTTGGTCTACTCTTATAACGATCTAATAGGCTAGTCATCCAGATATCTTCTTTATTCAGGTTACGATCTTTATTTTTCATTTGAAGTACCCGAAGAGGTAAGCTCATTTTAATGGGATTGTCCCCTGTTGGAATGAACTGAACTTTTCTTGAACCTTCTTTTAACCTCAAATTGCATACTCTATATACAGCCTCTTGAGCACAAACTTCTCTGTTTGTTAGATATACACCTCCTAGCTGTTTCATTGCCAGTTTTGCATCTGTATTTCCTTCCTTTGAAGCTTCTTTCTGTGCATGACCCAACAACAAACCCATTTCTCTTTCTGATTTTGATATATAACTAATAATATACACAATGCAACTATAAGCATCTACCACAAATTGTATGTCCATATTTGCATTCCAACAGCGCAACAGGTCTTTATTATATTGGTTTACCCAAACATCATTTGTTTGCCTTTTCAAAATTATACTGGTTTTCTTCGTTAACTTTGAGCTTGCTTTTTCAAATAG